TTTTTTTTTTTTTTTTTTTTTTACATTTAAGGATTAACATTGATTAAAACACTAAATTTTACCAATTTATACGTTAGGTCCAATTTTAAAAACCTTAGTCAATACATGTTCAAACTTAAAAATTTGTTTCAAATGCATCAACAATTTTTAAATGATTAACCGTCTATTTTTTTTAAAAAAATTGAGTGTCTAAATAATTCAAAAATCTAATTAATATAATTATAAGTTTGCACACTGAATTAATACTTTTCAAAATAAACGTATCTAACCATTCAACTCTGAAGGAGATAATAAGGTAATTAGACAATGGAAAATATATCTCTATTTACATAGTAATCTCGTGTTCGATCACTATACAAATCAACATTCTTGCACAGGGAACATCATCGTTACATTTGAATGATTAACAATACTATCTACCATACTAAAGGTTTCACCGTCTTATCTAAACCCTAAAACTTTGTGGATCGTTAAGTTAAATATACGACGACAAAAATGAGAGAAAATATATATTTTTTATTTTTTATTTGTTTATCAAAATAAATAAATAAATAAATAACTATTGTGTAGACTTTATATAGTAAAACTAAGACAAAAGCTTTTTTAAAATAAAAAATAATTATATAAAAATAAAAAAAAAAAACCATTAATTTGTGTGGGCCCATTCACCCAGCACGCTCACATGGAACCAACCCCCTTCACCTACAATTTCTTTTAAAAAAATTATTATTATTTATTTAAAAAAACTTTTTTTATTTCCTAATTTTCACACCTATATTCAAATTTCTAACCGTTGTGTTTTCATTTTTTAATTTTTTTTATTGGGTATTTATTAAAAATTTATTTAAAATGGATAATTTGGAAATTTTGCAGAATAAATTCAGTAAAACCACTTTAATCTTAATATGTAATAAAATCACATATCTTATAAAGAGATCTTGTCTATGCTCATTCATAATTAATCATTATTAAAATTTAATGATTAAATAATGCTGTTTATTTTGAATTATATATATTATGTTGTCTTCGTTTTAAGGAAGCAATCTTTTTCTCTTTGTTTTATTTCAATCATTATTACCAATTTATCTCCTTTCATCATTCCTATAGGAACCAATTTTATTTATTTATAGGATTTATTGATTAAAAAAAATATTTAATTTCTCACTTTCAAAGGGTCGTTAAAGTCCCACATGGGTAAAGTTCGAGCAATGAAATTGTGTAATCGAGAGATTCGTCAACACCCAGATCGTAAAAAAACCCACATGACGTATTTTTCTAAACGAGACCCTCTATGAGCCACCGATTCAAGTACAAATTACTATCATTACCACCAGAACCTATTCAGATCCAATTCATAATGATAAATCAAAAACAAAACCATGAAAATTTATGTTTACCGTGACAACATCGTACTACTGTGGACGTTCATTAATCTTATTAAATTATTTTATGTATTAATTAAAAGAATAATAAAAATTTTAAAAATTAATTTATTGTGTTTGGCATCATTAGTATTAGAAGGGATTGAGACCAAAATATTCTGCCATTCTCTTACTCCACCCACTCACCTCAATTATGACCCTATGACTTCAAATACTATTTATAGCCTTAGGTAAATTAAATGGCTTGAAAAATCATTACTTTTATATATATATATATATATATATATATAATTATTTAATTAATTAAAAATATTTGAAAATAATAATAGAATAAAATGATGGAATTTCAATTTATTTATCTTTATTGAAAAAACATTGAGTGGCTATGCCTCGGGAGTTGTTTGTCTCTTTACCAAACCACAAGTGGGCCGCTTAAGGCCCTTAAAGGATTGGGCCCAACTGCCTGTCCAAGAAGCCTGAATCGTTTGGTAAGCCCATTTAATGCCCATGTCCCACGTAGGAGGTCCCATCAACTGCAACACAGTCTTCTTGGGCTCGGGTTTCCTTTTAGATGGGCTGATGTAGGCCCAAGGTTGGATCACTTGGGTTTTGCTGGTCCATTAATTTGGGCTCTCATGGACCTGCAAGTTTTACATATGGGCCGGGCTTATTTTTTAGTTCATTTGGATTTTAGAAAGCCCAATATAATTTTTTAACATTTTTTAAAATTGTTGTAATGATATAGATCGATAGTAACAAATGATTTCAACCAAGAGCTAGTTAGAAAAATGAATAACTCTTCAGTCGAACTTGAAATCTATGATGGTTACTCTCAAATCTCAAGACGACTCATTACAGAATTAGCTTGATTGTATTACGAACCCCTTGAGAAAGTACATTCAATGTTTACCTGATATTTATTGTCATTCTATTCTTTTTTTGATTTGATACTTAAATCTTCTTTGACTCCTTCTTCACGTATATGCAATTGATTAGTGGTTGATTCATATCATTAGGACATTTTAGTCGTGTAGACATGATTTTTGTGACCAGTCATATACCTCGGTGTTGACACAACAATAATAGTAAATGCCTATCTAACAGGAAAGTTAGTAAAAGTGGTTTGAAACGGGCATGCAGCTACAGACAACACGTTTTGGATAAGCATGACTAGGACTTCACACGCAACATGCCTTTGACAAGCATAACCATGATATTGAGCACCAAAAACCCTGATCTCTTAGACTTCTACTTCAATACTCAATATCATGGTTAAAGTGAAAAGAAGATGAAAATTGAAGGGCAAATTAGGAATTCAACATTTGATTTATAATAATAAAACTGATCCGGCCGAATTTTTCATCTATCTGCGTTTTTGCAATTCTCGCAACAGCACGTTCAACTTTCATTTCGTTCAGTTCTCTCGATAGTTTCCTCATTCGGATCAGAGTAATCAGGTTTCTTTCTAATTTACTCAGGGATTAGGGTTTATGTGAGAGAGGGAATTTGTGTGCGAACCAAGCATTTTCTCCATTGGAATTTTGTGACGATGAGAGCCAGATTGGTGGTGTTTCCAATCAGAGGAAGAAATTGGTGTTTCAGCAGATCCGTCGACCCTGCCGCCTCGGATTCTGCTTCTACTCAGACTCCTTCCACTTTGAAAGATCTCTGGACCAAAATATCCTCGCCTTCTTCCTCCAAATCCGACGCTCTCTCCAGCAGTACCAGTAGTAGCAATGCGGAAATCGTTACCGATTTCATCTCGTTCAAGGTCCTTCATGCTCTTTTCAGTTTCGTCTTGTTTTGTTTTTTTCTGCTGGTATTTGTTTTGATCCTGTCGAACATGGCGTTGACAATGACGTTCCGTTTATCAGATGAATAAAGCTTGGACTGCTCTGGAGAAGGCTCCTGATGGCTCGTTTAAGAATAAACTTCACGGGTGAAGTCTCGCCAATGCGATTTTATTCGTTTATGGCACATTTCTAGTGAAATTAACTAATACGCTCTTGATTTTCTTCCTGTAGGATCGGATTGAAGCTCTTATCTCGAGTTAAGCCGTCTGAGATATTCTTGAAGTCAATAACTAAAGATGTTACGAGCGTTGAAATAGCATATCCATCCAGGTTTCATCTCTTTCGCTTTGTTATTTTTAAAATCGTCGATATAACAATTTCGCGCTTGCGCCTGCTTCTTCTTCTTCGGCTACTTGAATCCAAACCTAGTAGGGCTTTTTTATTTCCTCACCATATTACAATTTGTTATGTTATTTCCCTGATGTATTGCGACATTACAGTTTGAATCCACGGCTCGTTCGTAGGAGGTTAAGGCATATTGCTCTCAGGTGCATTTTCCCTTTTCCATCTGCCGAGTTGAAGCTAACTAGCGATTCTCTCATTTTATTCTTTTTTTCTTTGAAGCAATGTTCAACATTACACCTAGAATCCATGATTATTATTCTTTCAAGTCGTGAATCACAGTCATAATAGGACCTTATCAGCTCAGCGTCCAATACTACTACTCTGTGGTTCCATGATAGAAAGCTTATATCATCTCAAGTCCTTTTTGTTTCCAGGAAGCTTTTCTTGTTGCAAAAGTTTGAACTATGCCCCTTATTGATGTGAACTTTCTGTATCTCATGACCAGGGGAACTGCCATCCACAAGAAACACTTCTATGGTTCAGTTTCGTTGCTTCCATTAGCAAGTGCCTTTACTGTATGTTTGTGTCTATTTTTTAATATCAGCCACACTTTTTTCTTGCATTGTTTGTACCATGTTGATGTTATGCTTTTGACACAACATGTACTGCAACATTTTAAGTTCCTTTTTACTTAATAAGTACATTTATATGTCTTCTCTTGACTTCTATCCTGGTTTGTCTTACGTAGATTTTGCCTCTGCCAAATATTCCATTCTTTTGGGTTTTGTTTCGCACATATTCTCATTGGCGAGCCCTAAAGGTACTTCTATACTGGATTTTGTCAGTGGCTTTTGGACATCATTTTTTTAGTAGTTGTTACTTGACCCTGGGGTTTTATAATTAGTTGTATATGAGTTTTACATGTATCTAATGTTTCTGCACCTTTTTTTTTTCTTCTAAATGTATGCAAATATACACGCTTTTAGGGAAGTGAAATACTTCTTCAGTTGGTCTCTGATAGATCTTATTCGTGCAACTCATCCACTGATGGTAACAAAACTGTGAACACAGTCCAACAACATCCAGGTTCAACCTTGGTAAGTATAAAGTATTTTTATGTTTTCAGGTATTAGTAGATCTACACCTATATTCCTGATTGGAATTGGAAAAATATATTTTTGGTAACCCGATAATTTTCCATATAACATATCTTTTTACCGATCAGTGGTGTGCCTATTGCATAGAGAGTGCTTCGGTAATGAAATGGATAATTCATTTTGCATCTTGGTTATCCCAAGCTGTAACTTTATGAAGGAAAAGATTGACTATTACTCTGAGTGGAGTTAGATACTCTTTCCCTCATTTGCGTGTCGCCCCATGTTTAAATATTGGTCGATGTCTATTTTTCTTTTCAGTTCAATCCTTGTATTTCTGCTTTTAATAGACTATGCATAGCATAAAACTGCAGTCACTCTTACTTGGATTATGTTAATGGTGTCTAGGATCTGCAGCCATCAAAGGAACTCGACAAATTTCTGAGCCAGATGGAGGGATCTGGTGATATAACTACTACAATTAAAGATATATGCAAGATCTTTGATTTAAACATGAATAATGTTTTGAAGTACAAGGATAAAATGTGATGAGCGAGACCCCATCCATTTTCTGATGGGGGAAAAGAAGGTGCAACATTCAAACAAAGGAGATGGTCTTTGATTGATATTCATGGGATGAGAGATTGATTTATGGAAGAAAATCACGAAAGATGAAATAAGCTTGAGCCAACATATGCTTGGACTAGTGGTATGTTATGCGTCTTAGAATTTACATTGTTCTTCCATTATAAAAGGAGGGGAGGGAGGAGAAGTGGACAGCCTGATTCCCCAGTTTGGTGGCCTTTAATGTCTTGGGGCTAGTGTCATCCTATCCATCCCCAGGAACAAAGAATCGGATCCGTCTTAGTAAGAAATTTGAACAAACAAACGAACGAACGAACAACACAAGTTCGTGCTCTCTTCTTTTTGCAAATGAAATGTGGTTGGCACCAGATCCCACACTGGTTAGTAGCTTTTTTCTTTTTTGGTTAATCTTAGCTCATCTTTGCGCCATATCTTATTTTGTTCATCTGATTTGAAATATTAAACAGACTATGTTGATCTAACATTTATATTTTAGGGAAAACAAATGTTGAGGTTACTATGAAGCCTGCTTGTCCCCCGACCTCCCTCTTCTTTCACTTATTTTACCTCTCACCACACTACATATTCTAAATGATTCAACAATTTTGTTTTCTGTTTTTTTACTTCTTGGTTTCTTGGAAAATAGAGTTGGTCCTGATTGATTTCCAAAAATACAATTTTTTTGTACCCTCTCAATCTCAAATGTGAACATCATCTATTCTCTATTATATTCGTATTTTTCAAAAGTAGCTTTATTTTCTTTAACTTTACTTTCTATACTTTCTTTTACTTAAAACACATCTTTTGTTTTTCCATTTCCCCAAATTTCCCGTGAATCCCCTTTTTAACTTTAACCAAAACAATGGCGTGTTCAATTTCTATTTTTAAAAACAGGGTACCAAAAATAAATGCCTTTTGTTTATTGAAATATAGAAAATCAAATAAGTGTTCCATCCTATTCCATTAACTAATTTTCCAATTAGCTATTTTTATGGTAATCATCATCCTTTGCCATTTTTGTTGATGAGAAAAAGAAGCTTTGCTTTGGTAGTTTCCTGTCAACATTTTTGCCATATTCACCATCTTTCTAATTTTGTTAATTTAAAAGGAACTCCACCGAACACCCAAATTAGTCTATTTAATTCCATTTATCCTAATAAGAATAATAGAAAAGGAAACACCCAAATTAGTCTATTTGATTCCATTTATGCTAAGAATAATAGAATAGGAATCCATTTATGCCAAGAATAGTAGAGTAGGAATTTCGAATGAAGGGTTAGAAAATGGTTTGTAGTATTTCACAAAATAATTAAAATTGGTTTTTTCTTTTTTTTTATTTAATAGAAAAAGTATGTGTTTGGTGCTTTCCATCATTTTATTGAAAAGTGTTTTCAATGAAATTCATTGAAACGTTGAAAATTTATAAACAAAACGCTTGAGAAATTGTAATGGGGGCTACCAAATATGACAAACACAAAGTCAAGAATTAGTATGAAGAATATGAGGAACCGTAAGATTTGAATTAGACAACAAGCTTTGTCAACCATATTAAATAGGAGACAAAATAATTGAAGTTAACAGCGAAGTGTACAACAAACTGAATAAATCTCCACCAATTTCTAATCCTATTTTCTATCAAATTCTACACCTAACATCATCCTTCTCTTTGTAATATGAACAGACAACATTATTATCGCCATTTACAGACAACATTATTATTAACACAAGCTCCCAACTTTTTCTGTATAAAGAAGTGTTGTTTATGGTGTATCCTCCCCACCCATGTCCCCCCCTCCTCTGGGAGACGCTGCTGCATTGTCATTTCCATATGTTCTCTTACTCATGTTAGCTCGCTGCACAAGTCGAACCAATGCTTCCACCACTTCCGACATTGGAGGTCTGAACTCTGGTTCGGTCTGTCGTAAGATAGACAAAGGGTCGCTTTAATCATCCAGAACTTTAACACAAGATTAGTACGACTTATTATTTGAAACGAAACCGAGTCTTCATCACAGAAATATGTTATACCTGGACGCAAAGTGCAATCACATCTGCAAATCGGGAGAGGGATTTAACTGGATATAGTCCATGGAGTTCTGGATCGACCATCTTGGTCAACGCATCAATGTCATGAAGCTGGGGTGTAGCCCATCGAACCAAAGATTGCTCGGTCCTTGATCTTGAACTGAATGACAACAAAATCAAAACGGAAGTATGATAAGAAGATGAAGGAAGACAAATGGCAAGTCGACTAACTCCCAAGACCAAACATATTTTTTGAAGTGCATTACAAATTCACCTGTCGAATGGTTTGCGCCCAGTCAACAGTTCCAACATGACTACTCCAAAGCTGTAGACATCGCTTTTCAGTGTATAATGACCAGACATCGTGACCTCGGGGGCAGTGTATCCTGAACTTGCATTGTGATCCAGTGCCTGCACGTTATAAGGTATGAGTTGATCACTGTTACAGCATCTAAAAGAAAGATTCATCAAGTTCAAGATTTGACCTGATCTGTATTTGGTGCAAAGCTTTCCAGTCCAGAATCAGAGAGGTGGGGGCTGAGTTCCGCATCCAGCAGTATGTTTGCAGACTTGATGTTTCTATGAACAATTGATGGGGAGCAAACTTCATGAAGATACCTGAAAAGTTTCTCGATAAGTACCGTCATTCTATCGAACAAATGAGAAACATCGTCAACAATTTTCCCACTAGACCTATACTTCAGGTCCATGCTCGAATGAAATTACTCATCCGGAATCTAGAACTTGCTTAGTAGATAGAAATCAAATTAAAAGGATAAAATTCGCAACCTAGTATAATTCAAGAGTCAATTTAACAAGGCTCGGAGTCAACGTACTCTAGTGCACGGGCAGTTCCCAAAGCAATCTTAACACGAGAATTCCATATCAGTGGCTGGTTGTATTCGTCTGAATGATGCAAGAAATCATAAAGCGAGCCATTTTTATGGAACTCATACACAAGCAAATGCTGCCCATGCTCTGAGCAATAACCCACGAGCTCGGTTATATTGGGATGGTGTAACTCGGAGACTTTCGAAACAATGTCGGTGAAATCTTCAGATAAGTCCCCAGGTAGTACAGCCGAATTGATTTTTTTCACGGCAAGAATCTGCATTGCAAAACATTACGAAAACTAATAGGATGAGTAGATATTATATTTTTCTCTACTTAGTCTGATATGAAGAATTGAGTTGGGAAGTAACCTTCCCGTCATCAAACTCAGCCCGATAAACACGTCCAAACGATCCCTCACCAAGAAGATTTTCAAAATTGAAGCTGCCCGTAGCCAATTGCAGGTCTGCTATTGAATATGACTTTACATTAATAGGAGCTGCATTAGCCTTCTTGACAACAGCTCTTTTAGCAAAGTCGTCTTCATCAAGTGATTTATGAAGATCACTAGGAGGGGGTTTGAGATTAATTGCAGCAGAAGTATCAAATGTTGTTGGATAAAATGTAGAGGAAGTTTCTTCGGACTTTATTTCTGCATTTCAATGTTTCAAAGGATTGGTTAATGTTAAACGTACGTCTTAATGCATAAAATCCCAACTTGAAATGTAGCCGTATGACACCCTAAAATCTACAAGAAATGTAGAGAATATGAAAAATAATGTATAAGATGACCTTGTGCTGGAGTCATTTGATGAGGTTGCGGGGGTTGATTGTCGAGCTTTTCAATGTCTGCAGATGATGATCTCTTGGATCTCTTCCTAACAATGAAGAATGCTACTACAGCTCCAACGACGAGCACAGAGATGACAATTCCTGCAATGGCACCACTACTAATTCCGGATTTCTGACCTTCACCAGAACCACCATTTGATGGACTATTGCCACCAGAATCGTGACTTCGGTTCCTTCTAGTTGCTGGAGGTGTACCAGGAGGAGGAGGGGGTGCAGGACCTGAGTTCCAGGAGTTGCCATTTGTCCTGATAAAATCATCAATCATATAGAAGTCTTATGGAGTAATAACCTGTATTTGATTAAAAATACATGTATATATACCAGGCAATGATAATATTAGATATACTCACTGAAGATTGATGCTCTTCAGTTGCTCAGGGATCCAGCCAGAGAAACGGTTGTTTTCAACATTCCTTAAAAAATAAAAACCGATACATTCAATAAGAGGGGGGGAAAGATGCATCTCTTCCATGTTAACTTAAAATGCTTTAAACTCACAGGTTATCAAGAGGAAGATTTGCAAGGACATTAATTGTGCCAGTGAACTGATTGTTTTGCAAATTCCTAAAAGTTAAACCAATGGAATTAGAAAAAAAAAAAAAACAATACTAATTAAGGTGTCAGTACCATAGGAACTAATTCGGTGAAGACTTACATAGTGCTGATGCTCGAAAGCGAGCTAAAACTCTGAGGCAGTTCGCCTGACATAGCATTGAAAGACAGATCCCTGATTGAAATATGAAATTTGAATAGATAGTCACCAGGTGGGCTACAATAAATTCGAACATTTTCATGCTTTGTCTCGAAAAATATTTTTCAGCAAGTGAGAAGACAATTCGTGATGGGCATTATTGTAAATTTCTCATTTCAATTTGTCCAATTATAGATGAAATGTCATTAAATAAAATGGGCATAGAATTTAGCAGGGTGAAAGAAAAGTTTCAAAACTGTTTGGCCCACCAAGTATAAAATGTCAATATAAGACATGTAAACAGGAGTTGAATGGAGAGTATTTAAAATAGTCTCGGCTGAAAATTATTTGGTCGGCTCAATTCAGCAGCCGTTCGATTCTCATAATCCGTATAGAATAAGTAGGGGACGATATCTTACAATGTGGATAGGGAAGTAAGCTGCCCAAACATATCAATCAATGGATTCTGAAGCTGATTATGACTGAGATTTCTACAATTTCAACAAATAAGGGAAAGCATCAATAAAAGCTAAATTCTCTGTAAAGCAAACATACCATGAAAAACTGCTTACAGGTATCGAAGAGTTGTCATCTGTGAAATGGAATAAGGGATGCCTTCAGTGAAGCTGTTTTGAGCAAGATTTCTGCAGATAGAAGAAGTTGTAGTCATCAAACACAAATGCCATTATTGAACTCAAAGTATGCTTCATTTTTTCTACAAGCCATTCAAACAATTCACAAGCTTAAGCTTCTGGGAGATCATTTCATCAGAAAAATTTGTTTCTGTATTCTTTTGGTTGAAAAACCTCTCTGTCCTTTATTATTAACTTTCCTTCGTGGCCATACACAATCTCTATCTTATGTACATAGTTTCGGACCTTCGGAACACAGGGTTAGGCTTATTTCCTAGCAAGTAGCGGAAGCTTTGGCTTGTGGATAATTCACAATTTTATGCAAAACATAGCAAGAACAAAAACAAAGTCCCAGAACAGAAGTTGCATATGAATCATACAGTCTCTGCAGGAATGG